ACACACACACACACACACACACACACACACACACACACACACACACACACACACACACACACACACACACACCTTCAGGAGAATTGGATGGAGGCTCAGACAGAGAGGAGAACGGCAGATAAGAAAAGGAAGACAGGATCAGTTTTGGGAGGTGATGCCAGGCGTCACCGTTTGTATCTCCTGTCATATAAATAGAGACCGGTAACAATGCTGCTGACAGCCAGATGTAACCCAGGAGATTCATTAGGCCTTGTCACTATGGGAACCTGCAATCAGGAAGAAATGCTAACCTTGTTTTTCTACAAGTAATGGATATAAGGAAATACCTGAAGTCTCCCACGTTTACAGACAGTCWCAGAGTCACGTGTGGACATGTGGAGAGCTGACCTTCTACAAAGCTCCCCTCGTGTTTGAAGGTAAAATAAACATCCAGGCGCTTCGTGCCTTCTACACACAACAGTTGTGATAAAGTCCAGAGCAGAAACAGACAGCGCGCCTCTCACGTTATAAACAAAGAGGAACTTTGTGTCAGGCCAAGGATATGGGTGGCAGACGGCTCGAAGGCACCAGGAGCGGGGAGGACTGGTTTGGGTCAGAGCCAACAGAACCACCGGCGCTAGGGAGGGGTACGGCAGCTCTTCCTTTTCCTCCTCCTCCTCCTCCTCCACCCCATCTTCCTCTTCTTCCTCTTCCTCATTGTGCTCCAACCGCTCTCCCTCAACGGACACATGCACCGTCTCCCCCTCCTCCTCCTCATCCTCAGCCTCCTGCGTCGGTCCGTGGTGCTGCTCACGCAGGTCCGGCTCCTGGATGCCCGTCATGGCCATGCAGGGAACAGCCCGAACCTGGAAGAAACCTGGAAGAGTTCTCACAGACATACCTGCTTTTGTTTGCTTTAAAAATAAAATTAAATAAAAGCAAACTGGGATTGCAGAAGGCACAGAAACAAACCTTACTCTTTTTGTGTGTGTGTGTGTGTGTGTGTTATTGCACAGATCATCCCGGACAGGAAATGTAAATCTACACAGATCTAAACAGAGAGAACTAATAGGTAGGAGCTGAGGTGCAAACAGGGTCAAAGCTGACAACAGGAAGCACTTAGACCTCCTCATAATAATCCTACGGCTGTACGGTTCTGCCRTGACAACAGGCCATTACTGCAGAGGCTTTTAATCCAGACTAGCTTTAAACAATCTGGACATACAGAGATAAACTGTCTCAGACAGCTAGTTCTTTCTGTCATAAAGAGAATAAACCCTGGTGCTGGGAGTAATATTGTCAGGCATTTATTTCTTTTATTTACAACACGTTTAACCAAACTAATGAAGAAATAATAACGTGCGTTAGCAAACCTTTTGAAATACAAACTGCACAGAAACGCTGCTGAGGGTTCAAGTTATCAAAAGTACTGACAGAGATTTCTTGCAGGACT